ACGTGCATTCACTCTGGTCTTCGCTTGACCTTCCTCAACAGGCACGGTGACTAAAAAGCCTTTCATGCAACCCCTGGAGCTGTGTTCAGGAGAGCAACAGCATCTCCGTCACAGCCCCTAAGGAAGGAGTTTAACACCTATAAACTCTTTAAAGGCACGCATCAAGTCGAGGGCTCGCGTTTGTCCATGATGCTACGCATCCTGCAAAGGTTTTGAGCTCATGACAAGCATTTATATTGCAAAGGATGAGGTAAAGAATGAAAATGAACCAGGTGACCTCTACAAAAGTTACACAGCAGACGAACTTCATTTAATCTGTCACTGCCTGACGCTCCTGTTGAGAAAGTATGCAAAGCCTCTGGGCTCCACAGAGCATAATTATTGGCTCAAAGTTACGCTATATATCTAAAAGTGTTACTTTTAGTTAATGCCGTACACCCGCACTTTCAGTACTTTGAGGAGCTAATGAATCAGGAAAATAAAGGAGAGAGGAGGACAGATGGAGGAATGATAGTAAATCAGGAAACGCAGGGTATTGGTAAGGAGAGTGAGAGGGCAGCGGTGAGAAGGAAGAGAACGGTCCAGATAACATGTGGAAAAATGGAGATGTTTAGGAGAGCAATGAACTTTGTGACCAGATTGTATAACACTCCTGGTGAGTTGGAGTCGTGCCTGATGAAGTGCTCTGCTACCAGTTTACAGCAAGAACAAAAGCCATTTCCAGAGCTGCACTAACTATTTAAAAAAATCAGTACCAGGATTAAAACATGTGACTGAGCTGCTGAAAATGACCAAAAAAAGGGACAAAATAAATATGATGGTGTGACAGGAGCTGTGGTCTTGTGTGAAAAGGTTAGGAGTGGTTAAGAACTATGTGAGTGTGGTGCTGGATTTTGAACAGAAATGCAGTGGGGCAGAAATAGTGCAGGAAGTGCAGATACAAGCTACCCGAAATATGAGTTTTCCTAGTGAGCAACTTTTGCAAGATTTTCCTCATGATACGAGGAAACATCGAGATACAAGTGTTCAACCGAGCTCCATTTTTTCACTTGACACTGTCGCGCTCACTGTCCCTCGAAGGGTTATTTCACTCTTCCCTTTTTCTCTCCACAATCTAAAGAAAGTCCTCAATCGCAGTTCTTCTCCTACTTTAGTGGCCCCAACACTGTCTCGTTCACTGTCCCTCACTTGGTTATTTTACCCATTTTATAACAATAACATAAAAGGTTTTCTTAATTACTATTATTTTATATTATCAATATATTTGTTTATATGTTTATGTATGTTTATATGTTTTTGATGTTTCGATAGGGAGAATTTTAATGTAGTTAATTAATAGTATATTTCGGGGGCTGGAACAAATCAATTGGTTTTTAGTTATTTTTATTGGGGAATATTCAATCGAGATACGAGCGGATCAACATACAAGTGTTGTTGTGGAACATATTAAACTCAGATAAAAGAATAAAAGAAAAAAAGAAAAACAGAATTTTCCAGTTGGACGGTTACAATTTTCCTGATTTGATCAGAGATGCAAGGAGCCAAGGATGCTACCCTTCGTCTCATTGCAGCTTAGCAGACCATGAGCTTAGCAGACCAAAAAGATTGATGCCGACTGTTTTCTACTGAGGTAAAATCTGTTGTTTCTCTGTCTATTTTTACACCAGTTGTAGACCAAACATTAACAACTGCCTGGGGGCGTGTTGCTGTGGTCCTAGTTTGGCAGAAATTTAAATAATGGGATGTTTATCAGCTGCACGGTAGTTGGATATAATATTATGTAACTGTAAGACTGGTTGTTGTTTTTAGATAATGGTGACTTCACTGACCCGCCTGACTTCCCACTTAGCAGGCAAATGGATACTTACACATTTTTCCTATCTGATGGACAGGTGGACAGATGAGGTCAGACAGGATGTCTGCAGATGACACTGTAATCTGTGCAGAGAGTGGGGAGCAGGTGGAGGAGGGCACAAAGAGGTGGAGGTCCACACTGGAGAGAAGACAAATGAAAGTCAGCAGGGCCGAGAAAGAATGTGTGTGTGAATTTGAGTGAGGCAGATGAAAAGGAAGATGAAACGAGCAGAGGCAGTGAAGGTGGATGAGTTCAAGTACCAGAGGTCAAAGTAATGGACAGTGCACAGAGGAGACGAAGGACAGAGTGCGGGCAAGGTGGAGTGGGTGGAAACGAGTGTCGGGGGTGATGAGTGAAAAGAAGAATGAGTGAAAGGAGGGTTTAGGAAAATGTACTAAGACTTGCTTGATGTATGGAGTGGAAACACTGGCAGTGTGTGGAAGACAGAAGGCTGAGGTGGAGGTGGAGTGTTAAAGATGATGACATTTCCATCAGGAATGAGCAAAATGGACAGAGTTTGGAACGAGCAGATCACTGGAACAGCTCAGGAGGAAAAGTGATGAAGTGAGAACGACAAGATCAAGGTACTTTGAGCCAAGGTTGTACTGAAACGTGGAGAATGAATTTTTTCATTTGTGTACTTGCTGATACCGAGTACTGGTACAGATGCTTCTTTAGGATGACTATCAATAAATATGTAGTAGGCTGGAAGGCAGTGTTGTATAGATGGAGCTGCTGTGCAGGAAAATGGTCGACGTTCAGTGTGTGTGTGTTTCTTCTCATTAACAGGATATTCAGTTAGTTAACAAGAAACATATCTTTATTTATTAAAGAAAAAAAGTCTGCAAACTGACCCAGTCTTCTCTTTAGATCAGGCATGGGCAAACTACAGGCCAGGGACTGGGTCCGGCCCGTTTAGCTTTTTAATCTGAAACACAAACACAGTGCTGGTTAAGTATGTCCCAACAAAAGAAAGTGTCTCAGGTGTAAACGCCTCCTCTGTCCACCGTGTCAATAAACTGACAAGGGACAACATAGGTATCTAAGTATGAAGTATCAGTCCTGATACTGATACTGGTCGCCCTAGTTTGAACCACCTCAAGTGAGTTGCTATAATAAACCTGACATGGCTGGTGCATTAAAACATCATACAATTAAAGTGAACCACAGTGCATTCACTTCTCATAGCCCTTTAGTTCCGTCATGTAACGTACGCCTCTGTTCTACCCACAAATGTAAACTGCGTCAACATCGCTGACCTTTCTGAACAGAACAGTGTCCAGAACAAAGACGTCATCTCAGCAAAACAGATGCAAGTTGACAGTTGGCCATGATGTATTCACCCCTTTGATTAACAGTGTTAACGCTGCGCTAATCAATATTAATGAACACTGTTAAATAGCCCCTTCAAAAACACAGTGTTGTAGCGTGTGTTGAACCTACACACACAGACTGGTATGGATTTACAGCCCACGCTCTCACCGTTTTGGCTCCTGCTCACTGTCAATGTCATTTTTAGACGCAGCTGGCAGCTCCAACAAAAAGACTGTACACCTGCCCAGCTCCTCACAGCTGGCGAACATACGGGAGCATTAGGCAGCTAAAGAGGCAGATTTCCCTGGAGTTAGCCGAGACGCAGAAAAATGTAGAAAACACATGCTGAAAAAGGATAATCGACTTACTTATAGATGCTGACACAGAACTTTGCGGATCGAAAGTGGCTACATCACTGACACTATAACTTATTATGCATAATCATAACCATCAGAGTTTAACTTTGCTGCTACTAATTGAATATTTACATGACCAATTTTATATGACAAAATAAACTAATTCTTAAACGTCCATAAAATACAACTGTACTATTTCAATGTGAATTTGGTGAATTCAATTTTAAAGGTTTTGAAAAGTGAACTACTTGTCATTGTGACACAACACACCACACAACCAAAGGTGACCAGTGTGTGGGGACGTTGCCATTCTCAGAGGACCTCAGTGGTAACTTGGCAGCTGATGGACTCAAACCTGAAACCCTTCAGCTCCACATCCACTTCCTTAACCACTAAGCTACCAGTAGAAATACTTTCAACCACAACATGTAACTGAACAAATACATATATCTACAAATCTGTCTTCATTTCCAATAGTGGAACGGCATGTCCTATAAAGTAAAGGACATATTAACAAATTCTAGCAGCTTCATTCTGGTGACCACATGACTCACAGGTCACGAACTGGCCCAGAAATTCTACTCTGGACCAGTGACTTTGAGGAGAGAAATGCTTGAGTTCAATATAAAATATATTTTTTAAAATACCACAAATAAGACATCATAAACGGCAGTCTTCTTCATTTATTTAACACAACTGGCCACTGACTGCTCAGACTAACTTGATTATTCAATTTTCTATATTTAGCCATTTTCAATCCTTATCTTCCATATTATTTTTATTTAAAGGAATTATATCCTGGGATTCTGTCAAGCATTGGTGCGAGAGTGCTCTTAGATGAGGAGAAAAACCGGTGCAATGTGTATTATTTCATGTCCATCCATTAAACCTCTATTTATTAAATATGAAAATCCACATTTTTTGATGCTGTGAAGCATAAATAGCAACATTTAGACAAACCAGACATAAACACAATGCACCAAACATGATTATGTAACACAAGCTGGCGATTAGTGGACATCTGAAATGTCCAATACCAAAAAAAAGTGTTAAAAAAGATTCCAGATGTTGACGTATTCACACTGAAATAGTTTTTACAAGGTACTTGAAGTGCTATTCATTAATCTGATTCAGTTAAATGACTTACAAGGAAATCAAGATCTTATATGTAGAGGTAATTTTCTGATAAGGGTGCTCAAGATAAACACCTGGATTATGTCACTTCCCCAAGAAAACGTACGTCACCGACCAACTTTATCAGAGAGAATACAGTAATGAGGGTTACAAACGTAGGTGTGTAAAGTTAATTATCAAACACTGGACTGTTTCTGGACTCTTCAGATAACACAGACTAAACTCCCAGCATCTAATTTGATTGGTGGAAGCAACTTGGTGGGCTTTTCCACCCATTTTAGGTTAAGGTTGAGGAAACTTCCATGTTCTTCTTCCAACTGTTCTCTGTTCCCATTTTGTAGGATAATCTGTTGGTGTTGCGTTCAGAGAAGAACGTGACCCTGAATGCCAGAAATGGCCAAGGCCAGGTCACCGGACAGCTAACAGTTGGTGAGTCATCTCTTTTCTCTTTTTTTATGTATATATATAATTGTTTAGGTACCTTATGGTACCTAATGCTTTTGGATTTTGGATGTATCAAATAGGTTTCTGCTTCACTTACATACAGCAAA